ACAAAATCTTCAAAATAGACCTAATCGAAATTCCTCGGGGGGAAAGGGATTGTTAGTAATGGAGACTAAGAATCACATTGCTAACAATATACCCAACCAGGTCGACCTCCTCGTGGTTCCCCCTGGAAACTATTATGATTAATTCCAGATGAATTCATCATGATGGGCTAACTGGCCTGTTTTCATTCTCATCGATCACCCTTCACTGGTGCCCCGCTAGCGTATCCCGTTAGCGCAGGCGGGGTTACCATTCCATTTTCATCCGATAAAAAAAAAATCGATATTCCTCATTATAAAATATAGTATTTAGATAAATAGTTCGCTACATTCGGGTTAAAATTCGCCTTATTTGGATAATGAAGTAAAATAATATTTAAGTAAAGAATAATCGAATCCAACTAATATTACATTAATAATAACTAGATAAAATAGTCGTTGAAATGGGCTTAACAGATAACAAAATGGCATTTAAATAAAGCATCATAAAAATCGATCTAATAAATGAAATAAAACTATAATCACTATTTAAACAAGGCTATCACTATCTAAATTTTAATTAAATAACTTACTAAATAGGCTTACCGAAGGAGTATTATATTATCGATTGAATAAAATGTCATTTAAAATTATCATTAAAATCGACTAAGCATTTCAAACAAATAACCAAACATTGAAACTAATTCACTTAATTAAATTATTATAAATGCTAATTCAATGTAATACATTCGAGACCTATCCTAACATTACGTTAAAATAAATCTAACCAAAATGGACTCTGAACCAGACGTATAAGAAAATATAACGCGAATTGTAAATAGACGATAATAGTATAGAGTCAATGAGCATGTTTTATAAAATATTCACAGGTAGATTAATGTTACGATTATTTATTTTAAGTAGTCGGGTACTATAACAATATAAATGATTTCGAGAGTTGTAGTGTATTAAAGAATGTTACGGATCGCTAATGGGTCCCTATACTATACTCTGACGTTGAACCAGGCTCAGAACAACGCATCTGTATGACAATAAGCCACTATATAAAGCAGCAATCGTCCCACAGATGGATTAAAGGAGTTTTGATTTTGGAGTATTACGAATCGTTTCTAATATTAAAGCAACACGCTAAACCAAATTATGAAATAAGAAAGTAATACACATATGCACATGAATATTAAATTGGCATAAAATTAGAATAGAGTAAACTTAGATGATGAAATAGACAACTTATAGGTACACACATGCACATAAAATCGTATTGCTGAAATAAAAATAATCAATTAAAGTAAATGCTGAAAGAATAAATAGATGCTGAAAATAAATCGATTAAATACTATTTTAAACATCCTGAAAACACGAAGAATAATATTAATTAGTACAGTCAAGTTTATAAAATATTCACAAGCACATAAAATTTAAAAATGGTATAGAAACAGAACAGAGTAAACGTAAATGATAAATTTCGACAACTTGTGGGTACACACACATGCACATAAAATCGTATTGCTGAAATAAAATATATTAGTTAAAGAAAATGCTGAAAGAATTAATAGATGCTGAAAATAATATTATTAGTCATAATTAATAATTATGTGGGTTACACAAAGCATTATTGATTGCATATTATCTGCTTCCTACATTTTTGTGAACATTATTTCCTTTGATCATTTTATGTTGTGTGAATGTGAATGTGAGAAAGACTGTTTTCCGCAGTTAGCCTCTCATTGGGGCCGTTGTGCGTGTGAGTCGTGGCTAGTACAGCCAACCTAGCTCCGCCTAGAAGCACAGAAGCTTCCTGGGTTCTTCACAGGCCTCACGGAGCGACCTCACCGTTCCGAGGATTTCTAAACGTTGATGGGCCACAGCCTCACATTCCAGGATTACATGAGCAGCCGTTTCTTCAGCGTCGAAACAGCCTCGACATAGAGGGCTGTCTGTGGCTTCTATTGTGTATAAATGTTTGTTTAATGGACAATGACCCGTTATTGTCCCTATCATTATTTTGAGGTTTTTTCTATCTAGATATAATAAACGTTTTGATAGTCGTTGATTCAACGTAGGTACGGCCAATTTTGATTGTCTGCAATCAGTAGCCTGTATCCATCTTTGGTTTTGTAAGTCAGCGGATCTTTGACGAATCCACATTCGAAATTGCGAGAACGGAAGAGGAAGAAGTGGATACGGGCCTACCACCCTCGTTCCTGAGCCTCTTCTAGCCAGTTCGTCTGCGGCATCGTTACCATAAGATCCACTGTGCCCTCTTATCCATTGGAGGGTAACTCGGTTATTGGAAGATATCCTATCCAGTGAATGGTGGCATTTTATGTTTTAATCTCTTAAATTTTTCCTACGCTAGCTGAAATCCCTAGAAAAACCCTAGCTAGTCCTAAATTATTTAGCAAAATCTATTAATATTTAACTACCTTCTTATTTAATGATGAATTTATTATTTCTAAAACTATACCTAGCTATTTACTAAACCTAATGATAAAAATTCTTCTCAGTTCCAATAATCTTTGCTAGCTGAAAACCCTATTAAAACCTTAGCTATTCCTATATATAATGTAAATTTGAATTTAAACAATTAAACTTAAATTTTGGTAAAATGAATTTAAAATACTTTAAGCTGATTGAATCCTATTCTAAATATCCTGAAAACACGAGGAAATAATATGGATTAGTACAGTCAAGAAAACGGAACAGACTCACTGGATTTACGCCAACCTCGAACCTGCTACACGCCAATCGGGTACCAACACTCAGGAACCCGCAACACGCCATTCAGGAATCACTCGCGATTTACTTCCGAATTTAATAAAATTTAACACTATAGAATTTAAAATAAATGAACCAAGCGAATCGGGCAGAGTCTTGACCAGCACGGAGGGGAGTCTTCTTTACGGACCCGATGAGTGTTCTTCCAATTTTTGCAGGTAGCGCGCCGAATGAGAAAAGAGATCGAGCCCCTCCATTCAGGCTCTTTTATAGGATCCCCTTCGTCAATCGTTCGTCACTCTCTCCTTCGTTCATTTTTCCCTCCAATATCCTAAAACTTCATTCAATTCATTCCTATTGGTTATCTCCAATTTAGGTTTCCTATGTGCTTTGTTTCTATTGGCTCGCGCCAAATACCACGCTTTTTCATCATACAAATACCTTCATAATTTATAAATGTATTATTCCTAAACAAAATCATTCAGAATCAAAACATATACTAATATCATAGTTTTATCAAATTTATTAAATATGTAATATAAATTTTAATCTACGATAACATTCATTACTATTGAACCAAATAGACATGCAATGTACCCTTTCTTTCATTACTTTACCTAGTCAGGAGATAAATTTAAATTCTTCCCGCCTACGTACATAAAATATCATTCAATTCATAGTTTACCTGTGGTAGTAAATTTAGTGTCTGATTAAGTAGATTTTTCTTTTTGGTTTCTTATTTTATTGCTATTTTTTATCATAAAATAATAACTTATAATCAATGAATTTCTATTAATTTATATATACAAAGCGCCCTCTTCACGTAAAAATGTAGAATATGTTTCCAACTTCCTACTCTTTTGTAAAATTTGACAGCGAAATAATTAATGTTAAGTCCTTATTGTATGCCTATAAATTCACTAAATCCTACTCAAAATTTATTAAATATTCTAATTTATAAATTTTGTAACATATATGATTTTCATACGAAAATGGTAGTTTTATTTATTCAGATCCATTATGACGTACAATGTTTTTTTATACCACTGAAGTGGCAAACAAGCATACGGTCCACCTGATGGCAAGTGGTTACCGTAGCCATTTTGAACATCGATTGATATTGATGCATCAAGATCAAACAATATAAATTAATATTAAATGGACGCTCATTCAGTATTACTTTTGTTAGAACGTGTTCTAGCTTTATACTTACTTCGGCAAATATTAAAATATTAATTTATTATTTACATTTCTTGCAAGTTCAACACTTCTCCGCAAGATAGCGTTAAATGTATTTTCACACATATGGCGAACCGTTACAACTCTGACACTAGACCCTCAGACACTAGACACCCAGACACCCAGACACTAGATACTCAGATACTAGACACTCAGACACTAGACACTCGGACACTAGACACTCAGACACTTAGACACACAAACACTTGACACTCAGACACACAGACACTAGACACCCAGACACTAGACACTCGGACACTAGACACCCAGACACCCAGACACTAGACACTCAGACACTAGACACACAGTCTCTAGACACTAAGATACTAGACACTCCGACACACAGACACTAGACTCTCAGACACTTGACACTCAGACACACAGACACTAGACACTCAGACACATAGACACTCAGACTATCGATCTCTCGATCAGATTCAGAGTGGAACGTCTTATAAGACGTTCTGTTCAACTCTGATTCGATTGACCAACCGACGATTTGAGAACTGAATTCTTTTTTTTTCTTCGGCTTTTCAAAGAAATGCTCAATAGCCCGCTTCAGTGAAGAATTTTTCTTGCTTTTCAACAGAGTATTATCTTGCCGCTCGTCATCACTTATGTTGGGGTAATAATAAATTTTCAATATATAATATGATCATGAACTTATTGAATGATTTAATTATTGCAGAGTAAGAACAAATTAGATATATATATATATATATATATATATATATATATATATATATATATATATATATATATATATATATATATATATATATATATATATATATATATATATATATATATATATATATATATATATATATATATATGTACTAGTATAGTATTATATTATCTGTGCTATGGTACTGCTCATGTCTATACGTAATAGTTACCACTTTCCATCAGGTGGGCCGTCAGCTTGTTTGCCATTCTAAGTTGTATAAAAAAAAAAAAAGAATTAATACCATAGATAGATTTATACGTTAGGACCTACTTAAATTCTGTTGGTAGATAAAAAAAAAACTAATCCATCTAGATATATCATTATTGACATTTGTCTTTAATTTAAAAAGAAAACCAAACAAACAATACAAAAAACTGTAATGGAAGAAGCTTTTGAAAAACTGAAAAAGGATGGGAAGAACGATGTTGACAGTTTGATTCAATGGATGAAAAATTGTAAGGAAATTTACATAAAAAAAATCTATTCTTGTATATAGTATTTGATACTCGTATATGAATTTAATTCCTTTTACTAGAGATTTTTTTTTTGATAAGTTAAAATGGAATGGTAGCCTCGCCTGCACTATATCCTGGCAGGCCAGTAACTCATGATGAATGGGAAGCAAGTTAGTCAGTTAGCCCATCGTGATAAATTCATCAAGAATTAACCATCATGATTTCCAGAGGGAATCGCGTAGAGTTTGACAGGACATTGCTAGCAATGGGGCCGAAAGTCCCGTTAGGAACAATCCCTTAATTCATAAGGTAGTCTTAGCACCTACGCAGCTCAGACAAACTATTTAAAACTTTACTAGCAGTAAAACATTATCTTCCAGCAAAAGTAATAGATGATGTCAAAGCCTCTGAAGAAAAAGCGCGCAGTCTGTTTCAAGACGTAGCCAACAAACAGTGTGTGGAACTCGCCAATTTTAAGGAGGCTCTCGCCAAGTTAGCTGCAGAACAGAAGAAGAGCTTGGAGGATTTGAGCAATAGCTTAGTTGATCAGGGCCCGAAATTCATGAACGCACTGATGGCTGGCGTCAGTGCTTTTAAGGAAGCGGTTAAAAAGCCTTAACAGGATAATCTGTTATGGTAACTTAATTGGGCGTCACAGTTGTAAATTTTATAAATAAATAACTCCTTAATAACACTTTTTCCTAACTGTGTACTTATTTAGGTTCAATCCTTTAAACAGTTGCTGACGTATATATCGAAACCAGTAGACACGTTTTCGACACTACATACAATAGAAAGAGAATTACGCCGAACGTTGCTATCTCTTTTAGTTTCATGCGCGCACCCACGGCGCTTATCTGTGATTATTATACTTACTTTTTTTTCAATGTGAAAAATAAAACAAACCCATACACAAAATACTTTATTACGTCTGTATGTATGTCACTACTCACTCGCACATCTACTATTAGTATACTTTTTGCAAAACTACGTAGCTTTGAGTTTTGCGAGATTCGCGTTATGAAAAAAACAACATAAGATAACCGACTTCAAAAAATAAATACTCGGGACAGTTATCTTAGAAAGTATGCACCTTCAAAGATATTAAATGCATTAGATATCAACTCTTTATTATACTCAAGAGATTGTACGAACAAAAATTAAAATAAATCTAACATAAACAAACAAACAAACAAAATATTTCTTTTTTTTTCCTTTTTTTTCATCCTGCTTAGCTTTGTAGCTTAATATTGTTAATTCTGCATGTACAAATACAAAGTATTAGTTCTTGTGTGTTGGAAGGAACTGGCTTCCAAGGCACAGGTTACCCTAATTTGAAAGCTAGGGCAAAAAAATATGTAACAGTGCAACCTTGTATTTGTTAATGAAGTTTTATTAATATTATTGCACTTTGCACTTTACACTACTTCTTTCAGGCAACCTCTGGAGGATTACTTTTGCAACCACGAAATAGAATAATAAAAAAAAACGACTATTTTAAAATGCTCGCAATTAAATTTACTTGAATAAAAATTATTATTATTATAAACTTGTTAAAGACACGATAATTATACGTATACCAACTATCTACTGCCTTGGTAGCAACCGGTATGTTCATGTATTAATATTTATTTTTTAAAGTCGGTAATGGCAATATAACGATATTCAATGAAACACCTTAAACATAAATCTTGTTCAAATTATAATACTGTTCAAAAAAAACAATAGCTGCCAACATAATTCTTGCTTATTCAGGTATAAAAATACATTTCTAAAATTCATTTTACTTACAAAGAAAATATTCTCGGCTGCCTTGTACAGAAACGTAAAATTGTAAACATGTTTCACGCAACGAAATTAACCCAAAACAGGTAATAACTTCTAATCACTGCTTAGAATACTTAAAAAAATATCATCCGTCAAATTGTGACTAAACAACAAATACAATAAAACAAAACACAATAAAATGCATATCTCTGTCAATGCTAAAGCCTACATTTACTTAGTACATTCAGAGGCCCTAGTGTGAGTTTAACACAGTCCATAGTGTGAGTTTAACATACTCGTACCACTGCATTTGAGTTTGTTTGAGAACACTTAGCTGCCTCTCTAGCGAATTGTGTCGGTAACTCAGATTTTCATAAACGTAAACATATTGCGAGATTAATGTAAATCTTCATACAACTCACACTACCCACTCAGAGCAAGCAATATTTTTTATATCGAAAGAAAAGATACGTGAACTGTCACGTTAAAAATTATCAATTTTATATTATATTTGCATGATTATGCCTACATACTGTCAGTCTCCACTATATACATATATATATATATATATATATAACTCTCTATTCTTTATTGACCAAGATTGTTTGAAAAATTAAGACAAGTGTTGTACATAATGGTAATTTATGTATCTAACATACTACTTACTTACTGCCATAAATGCAACAACAACAAATTTTTGTTGCATTTCAAAAGTGTTATGTTTATATTAATATTTCGTCAACAATATTTAGTTTTCATTTTGAACGCCTTTTTTGCATTTTTCCCTCACACAGTCAATAGGTATCAGAGAGTGCCTTATACCTAATGATACAAAATCGATACCATACAACAAAAAATGTCAATCGATATAAAAAGTATCGCTCTATAATCTACACTAAAATAATAAACTATACATTTATATACAATATTGCCTGTTAAAAAAATTCGATACGAAAATACTATTGTATTTATTATTAAAAGCATGACAAGGCCTCGCTATTATTATGTTGTGTATGTGTTACAAATGAATTAAAAAAAAAAAATACAATAATAAAACTTAATATAGACGCAAAATAGGACAATACCAAAAGACGAGTCTCTATCGTATAAATGCAACCAAGCAACATGTACAACAAATATGTCATGACACCAGAGGACGCCACCTTCACATGATAATAGAATATTGGCAAGCAAATAAAATAAAAAAAGTGTCTAACAAAATGTCCAAATTATTAGAAGCGCTGAGATAAAAAAGAAATATCATCTACCTCCCACTGTTTTATAGGGTCTCTTCTCATAACATGAAAATAATTAGCATAAATGCGAGTCGGTTTATGTCTTTATATAGTGACAGTAATACTGAGATGTCTTTATTCAATGTGTCACCACAGGAAGTTATAGGAGGCGATTATGAAACGATAAATGTAAAAGTAATTCATTAAAAACAAATCTACCTTCAGATACTGAACTTTACTTTCACTGGACATGTTGTATTCACGGAATGCACATATGACATAAAGGCAATTGTTTTTACAATATTTTTTGTTTTATATTACCATTAAAATGTTTTCAAATAGTGGTCGTTAAAGCAAAAAATTAAAGCCAGACAGATTTGATGAAATTTAATACAAGGTTATATCCTTAATGAACATAAAAAGATTTTTTAAATACTTTCATTCGTGACTTGGATAAAAGTGGCCTATGCCCTTTTTCATCCCATATGATAGGTGTATGCCAAATATCATAATGATTCGTTATGTAATGGGCGATGATAAAGAAATAGTAATCCTGCCTGCGCTATCAATAGGTATATCCTGGCAGGAGACTAGTGACATTTCAAGTCAGTTGGCTTGGCCTATCGTGTTAAATACGATGATGATGATTGGTAATTATTTAATAGCTAAAATGTGTTTAAAAACAGTGCCGCATTTCTGGTAGCTTCATATATTTTTTTAATAACAATCAGTAACCTTATGGTTATAGTATAAAAATAAATGGATAAGGTTAATTTTGAGCTTAAAACATGTTTAAATGAATATGTCATTTAAATTTTAGACCTTTTAAAGTTTTTAATTATTTAAAATAGTTTAAATTATTCTTTTGTTTATTGAAAAGAGTCGAGCTAAGTAACTGATTCAATCGATTGATCTTGTTGAAATTATGAAATTTATTTTCACCGTTATACAGTTTATTTTCTAGCAAACAAACAAATCCGATCGGTGATAGGTACTTCCATTATGAACAGTTACTCATAAAATTGCTAAGAAACGATATTAACATTTCTAAAATTTTTACTACTTTTTTACCTTTTCTCAATATGCCTTATATCATATTTGCACCCAGTTGCAGAAATAATTACAAAAACATTAAACTGTAATTTGCGCTTAAATTCACTACCAACTCTGCTTCTACTACATCCACTTTGTATGGCGTGATACATTCTTATCAATTTCATCTTAATATTATTTTAAACAAAAGTCTATATCTAATTCTATACATATTTGAGATTCTATATTACATAGTAGATATTTACAATTTTGCCGCATTAGGCCTTCTCTATCTCGTCCACAACGCAATATGTATACACTATTACAATATTTAAAGTGTAGTTAAAACCTGCTGGGGGTATAACAGGCACCTTACGCTAATCATATTGTCATCGATTCTTAACCCAGCTGAATTTAATAGTCATCTCGTTCTTTAGTCATAATATTTCGGAATAGTACCATCCCATTGGTCGGGTTAAATGATACAAATAACAATATGATTAAAGTTATTTAATCTCCTTATGGTTCTAAAATGACCACTGGCAATTCGTAATCGAATACAAAAAAAGAACTCATACAATTTGTCAGTCTACAACACTTTCAAAATGAAGAGCGGGAGGGGGGCTAATAACATTGATGTTTGAATTCGAAATCCATCTTATGAACATCACTGCCCTGTTTTATCAACTTAAATTAAAAAATGGACAAAAAAATACTCGCTCTACTTTTCACAACTGTCCCTATACTATATTTGGCTACATCCTTGTCCACTGTTGATATAGACACTATAAGCTTTTTATTCTTCGAACCATTTATATTCATAGAAACCATATACGTTTAATTCCTATACACACATATCGACTCCCTCGTGACTGGAGTTAATGCCTAAATCCCTAGTGTGAGTTGGACAGAGATTTACGTTACTACTGCGTTACATTTCATATACCTTGACTATTTTTATTCATAACTTAGCTGCGTCTTTAGTTGATATTTAAGAAAGTTTCAATAATAAAATACAGACTTATTGACGTTAAATTAAATATTTGTAAAAGTCACACACAGTGACATAAATCTTTGTAAAACTCACACTACTGGCTCAGTATGATACGTGTTGGACAGAAATTTCCGATGCACAGTTTTGTATTGTTTGTACAATTTTTATACAATTCAATGAGTATTGATGTAAAAAACAAGCGAATTTAAATCGCATCTATTAAGATGCAGGCTAGTTGACGCGTGTACAGAGGGCCTTACTTATACAGGATATCTAAAACATTTACATTTATAATTACAGCTGTCGTATACCGCTCAACGTTCTATCATTAACACATGGCGTCTGACCTTGTCCATATAAACGATAAAATACTTTTAAATGAGATAAATCACAGATCACACAAAATTAACATCAGACCAGAAAGACATCAATCTATTTGGACGAGTTTTACCGCAGTTCCATGACAATCAGTTCTATTTAGGCGAGAAACTGTTCGTTTTAGGCGAGAACCTGTTCTATTTGGGCGAGAACAGGTTCCGTTTGAGCGAAAATGAGGTTTACGAAGACGTCTCGTCGTCACCTATCGCCCGCATGGCTATCATGTCTGGCAGTTTGAAGTGCTGCATGTGGAACGGGGGCTCTGGACTAGTGCATGGCTTCAGCTGGAAAAAATATCGTAGTAATTAAAATGTAAATAGGTTACTTATAGGAGTTAGTTAAATAGAAAATATACATCTTTTATAGACATCCTAGTTAATGTAACTATTTTCTATATAGCTTGTGCCAATTTATACAGTTTTTACCAATCTGCCCCATCCATTGTATACCATACAATGAATCAATGTAATAACTAAAATAGTGAATTCAGATCATTATTTGAACTAAAAATCATGGGAAATTCTTTTTGGTAAGTGTCAAATTTTTTCCTTTTATTTTTATTTAAAACCACGTGTTCTATAATGTAATATAAAGAAATAATAATATTTTATGGTGAAACACTATGAAATACCAAAAAACAGCAATGTAATGTAATATACGTATTAAAATCCTACCGTAACGTGCGGAATCAACTGTGTAAAATCAATGTCACAAGCGTACGAAAAATACCTACAAAGAAACGTATTGACTTATAGCTGTGATGTTTTTACAGCCACTAAAGTTTGCACAAATGTATAATGCAAGTGAAGGAAACTAGACGTGGGTTATAACAGGACAAACATAATATCTGTTATTCCTGTTACTGTTACGTAATAATAACAGGGTCCAATAGCTATTATTAAATAACAGATGTTATTTTTTTCAACCACGGCCCTTTAGGAAGGAAATAACATACAAATATGTGTTTAAGTATAATATAGGTGCATTTCATTTTAGCAACAATATATCAAATGGGTGTGAGCGAGCTAGATTAATCAACGAAATAACAGATAACACGATCTAATTAAGAATACGCTTTTCAAAGAGGATTTCTTCTTATGAAACGACTTACTATAATTTTGGTTTATTTCAAATAAATACTACGTGTGTCTCGTTTTAGCTTATGACAATATTATACAAAAAAAACAAAGACAAGAATAGTTGTTTAGCTTTTTTATTGGCTGTTCTGTTATTTCAAGCTACGTTAGTGACCGGCTGTTATCGAATATTGAATTGTTTGTTGATAGTGCTTGAATAACTAGAGTATGGTGAATTATAAATGATATTTTTTAACAGTTATAATGACATCGCAAGCACAACTGTTATCTGTTATCTTCGAATACTTGTGATTTATATATTTTATGATAAATACGCCTCACTCCTAAAGGAAACACACAAAATTAAACAATACCATTGAAAACTACTTTTTGAAATAGTATTAAATTTTTCATAATTTATCACATTTGGCATGAATATCTATTGTTCTAATTGTGATATTAGTACATTTGATAACTAGATGTGCTAGGACGGTTAGAACATCAAATTAGAACGCAGTGTGAGCAAAAATATTTCATCCATACGTATCTTCTATCTTTATAATGAAAGATGAGACAATTTAGGTTCTGCTCTAGCGCCATTTTGTGTTGATTTGTTTAAATACTACTGTTAAATTAAACATGAATAGACGACATCAAATTACCTACTTGCGTACTGCGCCCGCGTCGACGTCGCGGCAAGATTCCCTTCCGGGCCATAAAGAAACTGCAACAGAAATATAATAGGTAAGTACTAAGTATATTATAAAAGAAAATTTGATGACGACTTCCAGACTCGAGCATACGGCCTACCTGATAGAAGCAAAGAAGAATTACATGCCTACAATACCAAGAATATCACGTGTGTGTTATCAATATCATACAGTTTAATAGCTATCTATCACATACATAACCTGTGATTACAATGTAAATCACCAAGTCAGCTAAGTTGATGTCAAAATTTTGCACAAAGGCCCATAGGCAGTATGATATATTTATTTCGATATTATGTTGTTATACATTTTCGCTATCGCATGTATAATATAGAACGAGACAACAATATCTAGCGTCGTGCTCTTCCTCATGCGCAGTGAAAACATCTGTTATGTCTCATTATTTTATTTTTTCTATCAATGACAAATAATATGATTTTTTGTGTCCACATTTTATGTTAAAAAACATAACTAACAATATTTTTTTTAACTCATTCATTCTCATCATATCAGCCTTTAACTGTCCACTACTAAATATAAGCCTCCCCCTTTGGGGGGTTTTGCTAGTTGTTTCCACGTTTGGCATGCGGATTGGCAACCGCAGTTAGACTTTAGAGATGTTTTAAGAGGAACGCTGCTGCCCATCCCTTGCCCTCCCTTAGTAGGCTCTTATGACACCCACGGGAAAGGAAGGGGTGGCCTATTCTATACTGGGACCACACGACTAACTCAAAATGTGTGTAAAAGTATAAATAAATAAGGGCAGCTCACCGTATAGTTGATATCGGTATGTTGAACTGTTCCGAGACAGTCTGAAAGGTTAACCCTTTACTGACGCACTCGGCCGCCTGCCGCAACTCCACCTCGCTGCGTCTAATCCGTTTTGTTATGTTGAACTCTTGTTGTTGTTGCGTCGATTGCGATACCTGATAACGCGTAACCAATATAAACTAGGCTTGCAAGAGATTTTTTGTTTAGGTTTGGGTTCTTTAATACCTACGTGTAGCTAGTCTCTGATCTCTGTCTACCTTCCAGACTTGTGGCGGCGTGGTGGGCCGGATCATTGGGCTCCCTAAAATATGGTCGAGCGCAGTGATGGCTGGCTCATCCGTCATACTCGTGAACGGGTGCTGCTTGTAGGGACTGGTCTGCTCTAATCACTATGACTGATTTCCTCTTATTAATTGTTTAACCAGTTGGTTATGTATTCAATATTTTTTCTTTTTGAGTATTTAATTGAATTAGTGCTAATTGGTGGTTTGTATTCACACACTTAAACTTAAAAATGTAAAGTAATAATAAAATTATTTAAAAGAGCAACACGCAAGTTTCTTGCTCGTTCTTCTTGTGATGAGACAGCTTTCCGAACGAGCGGTAGATTAAAAAAAATTTAATGACTTTTCAAAAGTGCTTCAATGTAAGTTTATTTGAATAAATGATTTCTATTCTATTCTATTCTATTCTTCGAAACATTAGGGATTTAAAATAATTTCAAAATTAATTTATATATACATATATTTATTATTTAAAGTATTATTTTTGGACTTTATATGTAATGCTTTATATACAAATCCTATAAATACTTTCTCCTTTCGGGTTCTTAAGGTTGTCTGGAAGAATTCTCTTTAAGGGATAAGTCCACCTGTGTACATTTTGGTATAACTTAATATCTATATTATAAGTGAATGTACATAATTATCTTCCTATCTTTATTCCAACTATTATTTGGGGTCATCGTAATATGTTGTATTACAAAAAAATTTGGCCTATATTTTTACGACCGGCCGCCTGCCTGACGTCAACCCTCTTTGGGAGGGGGGAAAGGGATTATTAGTAATAGAGACTGAGAATCCCATTGCTAACAATATACCCAACCAGGTCGATCTGAATGCGGTTCTCCCTGTGTCATGGTTAATTCCTGATGAATTCATCATGATGGGCTAACTGTGCCGTTTTCATTCTCATCTATCACAGGTGCTCCGCCAGCGTATCCCGTTAGCGCAGGCGGGGTTACTATACCATTTTCATCCATCAAAAAAAAAAAACCCTCTTTGGGAGTATACAAAAGCATATTAATTAATTAATCACATGAATCAAAATCAGTCATACAAGAAGTATATATTTATAACTGCTGTTGAAGTCGACTCTTAGTTTCAATTTTCATTTTTCACTAGTTCGGGGTAAATTTATATACTAACCTGTGGTCTCTCGCCCACGTGTATCACGTTGACCGATGACGTCATGTACCCGGGGCCTAATCCGGGCGTTACCTCCAAGAATGGACCCGACGTGGTCACTATCTGGGGCTGTGGTGTTGAAGGTACCTGAAAATAAAGAAAATAATTTAATCCATTATTTTCTTTTAAAATATGTGTCAACCAACAATATTTAAAACTGTTCCAAATTTGAAATCGATAACATCAGTAGTTAGTGAGATATCGACAAAGTCACATCATAAGCGTTCCTTGATATGTCATATAGGGAAGGCCTACATTTTATTAAATTCCATGAAGACACGGTAAACATCGCAGAGTTCTGTTTAAAAGACATCTATTTGAGACTAGCTGTTACACTCTAAACTGAACAAAAGGTTGAAACATCTATATATTGATTGCTTGACAGCAAAGAAATTTACTACGTACCTGAAAGGAAACGAAGACCTCGTGTCAAAATTGAGGAAACTACCTTTGGCAATGTCATTTGATGACATGACTTGCTTTCTTTGTCCCTCCAATAAATTAGAGTAGTAAACATAACAAAAAAAGAGATGCTGTCAACTATGAACATCACGGAAGAAAAAGTAAAATCCAACAAATGTACATAGAATTTTACTGTGCATTACAGTTTAAATATTTTTTTTTATACTACTTAGAATGGTAAACAAGCTGACGGTTCACCTGATAGATAGTGGTAACCGTCGCCTATAGACATTACCATGGACATAACAGAGTATACTGTTTCGCCCATGAAGATTTGCCATTCCTCAGCTTACCCAAATACCACCTTTCAAATGAAACACAGCCATGCAAACACAACTTCTTCACGGTTAAAACACGAATTGAACAGAGGTACCCAAGCAAACGACTTTTGTACAAAGTCTTCCACTGGTAAATAAATTTAAACTTACAGTATTAATTTGTTGTATAATAAAAGCTGGTGGCTCATCCCTGGTATCGTAGGTGTGGTCGTCCGGAGGTCCGCAAGTCACCAAAGTTCGGTCGCTCTCCGGTTCCGTGTCAGACGGACTGTCATATTGACACTGTACATTCGCTATCGCGTAGTCCGCCGATT